CGACCGTTCGCTCCAGTCTCTCTCTGTCCCGGGCCGAGATGCTGGCTGACCTAGCAACAATGCCATAATGGATGGCCGAAGCCACCACCGAGTTGTAGAATGTCTTAAGGAGTGACCCCTGAACCCCAAAAGACCTCAGTTTCCTGAGTAGGAAGAGTCGGCTCTGTCTCTTCCTAATCAGGGCGTCCGTGTTGGTTGACGTGTCGAGTTTATTGTTTAGAAGAACACCCAGGCACTTGTCGGAGGCAACCCTCACCCTCTCTATGTCCATACCCTGGATGTTCATCAGTGCTGGTGAGGACTGTTGCCTGCAGAAATCCACAACCAACTCCTTAGTTTTCCTAGGGTTGATCTGGAGTTGATACTGCTGGCACCAGTCCACAAAGTCCTTCGTCAGTCGCTTGTACTCCCGATCGTCACCCTCTGTAATGAGGCCAAAAATCGCAGAGTCATCGGAGAACTTCTGAAGGTGGCAGGTTGGAGTGGTGTGTCTGAAGTCCGAGGTGTAGAGGATGAACAGGAATGGAGCCAGAACAGTCCCCTGCGGTGCTCCAGTGCTGCAGAGAAGCCTGTCCGACTCACAGCTCTGTGCCCTCACGTACTGTGGCCGGTTTGTGAGGTAATCTGTAATCCAAGATATGAGGTGGTGGTCCACTCCGGCGTTCTGCAGTTTGTCCCCCAGTAAGTTGGGCTGGATGGTGTTGAAGGCACTGGAGAAATCAAAGAACATGATTCTCATCGTGCTCCCAGCCTTCTCCAGGTGTAACAGCATTGAGTGGAGGAGGTCGATGATGGCGTCCTCCACGCCGATTCCAGGCTGATAGGCAAACTGCAGCGGGTCCAGTGCCGAGCTTACTAGCGGTCGAAAGTAGGTCAGGACAAATCTCTCCGGCGTCTTCATGAGGTGAGACGTCAGCGCCACCGGTCTGTAGCTGTTCAGCTCCTCAGGGTGGGGGGTCTTGGGCACTGGGACCAGGCACAAAGTTTTCCACAGCTGTGCCCTCTTCTTCTTCTACTCCTTCAGGAGGGACTTTATGTCAGGCTTAATCCATGGTTTGTTCTTGGAAAAACACCGCACAGTCCTGTGCGTGTGTTAAGAAAAGATCTTTTACTCAATTCAGATTTTTTTCTGCCTGGCTTTCGGCGAATGCGGACACTTTTTTGCTCTGCTCAGGACCAACCAACCTCCTTACTTCTCTGCTTGCACACACATCAAGGCATAAAATCTATGTCTTAGATCAGTGGTGTCAAACATACGGCCCGCGGGTCGGAACCGGCCCCCAAGGAGATTCGATCAGGCCCGCAGGATAACTTAAAAGTGAAAAAAATGCATAAAAGACACGGAATTAATATTTTTAATAAGGTGCAATTAATGGTTTATCCGCTAGGGCAGGGGTCCCCAACCCCCGGGTCATTTGGTGCCGGGCCGCACAGAAAGACTAAATAACTTACATGACTTCCTTTTTATTCATTTCGGAATCTGAAAGATGTTTTATTTTGAAAAATTACTGGATTTTCTGTTATATCCGTCAACAGTATGTCACTCTTGACGCAGGTGAAGGAGGCGCTACTCGGTCAAGTGATAGGTTATCACTGAAATGAATCCCGAAGAGAAGGCACGGAGACGGACAAACACGTATCAGTATTTGTTTACTGTGAAAACCATTCATCAAGTGTGCGTTTTAAAAAAACAACACCACAGCTCTCCTTTTTTCAGAGCTGCAACAAAAACCTATTTAATAAAGCAGCAACACAGTTCACTAAACCAACAGCAAGTTATAACATTGAAAGCATGTCTCCAGCAAGGAGCCATTTTGGGGTCGACATATTACCGTAATGACCATACACAAGAATAAGAATCAGAATCATCTTTATTGGCCAAGTATGTAGAACACACAAGGAATTTGTCTCCGGTATAACACGCTGCATTCGTATCATCATAAACAAGGACATGACAAATAGGTATGGAAGGACATTTCGTAATGTAAGTGAATCGTAGTGCGGTGGTACCATCCTGTGACAACTGTGAGACAATGTGCAAAGTATCAAGCAGAGCTAAAGTGATCAGCGGTACAATACAATACTATGACAGTTTGTACAGTTGGTGCAGATAATCATTGAACCATTTTAGAGTGACCAGTAGCAGTATATGTTGTACAAGTAGAGTTACTATGTCAGTGACTGTTTAGGGAGTTAATGGCTAGAGGGATGAAGCTGTTTAAGTGTCTGCTGGATTTGGTGCGCATGGATCTGTAGCGCCTGCCTGAGAGGAGTAGCTGGAAAAGGTGGTGGGCAGGGTGCGGGAGATCCAGGAGGATTTTCCGTGCCCTTGTCTTGATTCTTGCAGTGTGCAAGTCCTCAAGAGTGGGTAGGGCGGTGCCAATGATTTTTTTCGCCGCCCTAACTGTCCGTTGAAGTCCGATTTTGTCGT